GAATACAACAGCTTTGTAGCAGCTGAGGAGGTGGTCCCATGCCTAACCAAAAAAGGACCTAAGTATTGATCTGGTTTTTAAAGCTTGCTTTAATTATTTCGCTGATGCTACACTTACGTATTCATACCAGAAAATAATCTCGAGCTGCAAAATGTCAGACATTTAATTAGCTCTAAGTGCCTTGATGAATGACAAATATACTGCAAAAAGAGTAGTACATTATACACCTGGTAACTTGTTCAAAGAGTATTTTTTTTCAGTTTTCTTTTCCATAGTTCACCTCAGCATATTTTTTAACTTCAAGTAAGAGAGACAACAAGTTTTCCCACAATTATTTTACTCAAAGAGCAAAAATGAGTGGAGTTTTTTTCAGTTTGCTTAATATCAAGCATGATTCTGATCTGACTTCTGCTTTTGCAGTAACTTACCTAAAGGTTTCAGCTGTACATCTAAGGTCTTTCAGGATTGTGGATTGAACAGCCGTATGACCGGGCTAAATCAAAATATCACTTGCTACCAGTTCCCATGAGACTCTGTAATTAATTGATGTGAAAGAGTAAATTACTTGGAAACTAGCAGATAGTTTTTACCAACAGACTCTGTTCTGCAATTTAGTGAGTGTTTGTATGTACTTCCTAGAACTGTGGAATTCTCCATCGTTATACTTGACTGATACGATATTGAATTCAGTGTTCATTCACGAGTAAAGATTAGAGTGCTCAAAATTGGCCACACCAGCAAGATTTTTCTTTCAACAAATCTGAACCCAGATGCGATGTGGCAACTAAAAGCAGTTGTAAGCACTAAGGAGGAATTCTGCCAAAACAGTTACCTGGGCTTAAATGAAGAAACAGTTACTGGACTCCAAATGAAACTGTAGGTAATGAAGAGGCTTGACGCTGCATAGTTACGTGATGGAACTTAAGCTGATCTTAAAAGCGCAACCTGTGAGTTGTAGCTTTGCTTTCTCAGACCAGTACTGCTTGGATGCAGAGGCTGCTCTCTCAGACTTCTCTTAGGGGTTGCAATAGAGTTACATTTCTCCCCCCGAGCTTCACCTAACAGGAAAAATGATCTTTTAGAGCTTTCCAGTAGTCACTCTGACTGAAAATACCATATATTCCACAAAAGCATCTGAACTGTCTGCAGGTCTAACCACACACATTTACTAGAAAAGGTCAGACTAGGTATCAGTTGATTGTAAGTTAAATCTATCTCTGTTACTATTTTTTATATACAATATGGATGCAATCCTGCAGGACACACTCTGTGAGGGTTGTACTAAAGTAAGGACTGCAAGATTCAAAGCCCCATCAAAAAACAAGCCAGTTTTGCTCTCAGGCACTGATACAAAAAAGCACATATTCCAGGTGGTCTCATTTATATAAATACACTCCAGAATGACTTTGACTTCATTCTTCAGAAGCATAGAAGAAAGGGAAATGTAGCCTATAAATTTTGATGCACTAAAATACAGAGATGCATATTGCATTATTTCAGCAATATAATTAACTGGCATTTATCAAAACTTACAAAACTGCTGCTATAGATGCTAGTAAATCTAAAAATTTTGAGTCTCATGTTCTGCCTCTCTATACATCTAGGCAACTTCATCAACTTCAGTCTAAGTTCAGCAGAGTTGCATGGGTACAATAGAAAGCAGAATTTAGCTTTTAGCTTTCTTGCAGAAAGGATTTTTATGGCTTATAACACAGAAAATCCATGAGAGCATGTCTGAAGCTGAACACCTAACAATAAATACCTGTATGGTACTACTACACATGGACTTTTAACGCAGTGTCTGCCCCAAGATGATGGGAGCAGAAAGACTTCTCCTCACCTGGTTCACCACAAGCAGTACAAGGAAGTCATGAGACAACATGCCCAAGGGTTGCAGAACAGTGCTTCTGATCATGAGAAGCTTTTTCTGACTACTCAGAAAACAGTAAAAATGTTTAATCTTGAGCAGTAGGAATATATTTTAGCTGTTGAATAAAATGAACACATTCAGGAAAACATATAACAGCAGAAATAACTGGCAATTGTAACTACTTGCTACAGGGTGACCCTGCTTTGCCTGAGTAAGGACTGCACTGCCAGGCCAAATACTTTGAAGATGCAAAGGGCTATCCCAGTGTGTTCTCCAGTTACAGTACTTTGGATTTATAGCAGCAACAGGACTGACTTCAAACTTCAGTTCTTTTGGATTTTGCTTAGAACGGAATTTGGGCCTAATTATTCATTCCTTTTGTACCGAAACTCTCCTGAGCCTTATCAGGTATTCAGAAGTCTGACTAATGTCTTGTTAACAAAGGAATAATGGACAGAGCCCACTGTAAGGAAAGCTGCACCTTAGTAACAAATACCCGGTACTTTCCTTCACCCATTTTTAAGGGAAACACAATTTTCAAAAGCAGGATTTCAATGTCTTTATCTACGGCCCAAAATCTACATTTATTCTGGCTCCCAAAACTTTATGTGAATGTTAGTTTTGCTTGAATAAGGCCTGCAAGATCCGTTCCAAATCTTGCTCTTTGTTAAATTCAGCGGAAAGTCTTCAAGTGACTTCAGTGGGATCAGAACAGACTCTTCAGCCACTATGTTGCCCAGATATTTTAGCCACCTTTTCTGCAATACAATATTATTTAAATCTGTTTTCACTGACCTGTAAGACATTACAGATTGATGTTAAAGGGTAGGACACAACAGGAAATAATGTTGCTTTGGGAATTTTACCATTAGTAAGTTTCTTTCCTCTTACATTATCTTGTAAGACCAAAGATCAAACTAAAATTATTAAATACACAGTCAAGTAACTTTAAACTTAGAGATCAAAATTATTCTCAAAATGTTCAAATACTTAAAAATATGCACTCAGGTTTATCTCTAAAAAGCATTTTTCCAACAAACTTAAGCTGATATCTAGTAGTCTAAAATGCAGAGCTGTACTTTATCCTATTGTTTGTCCACGGGCAATGTATGGGGCCACAGTGTATTGAAATCATAATCCTTGCTTTCTGAAGAGAAATTGTTCTGTGTAATAATTTCTGAGGTGTGATTTAAATTCCTGTCCTCCTCTAAGCAATTTCAGAAGTCATCTAAAATTATAATCAAACATGCTCAAACATATTTGAGGGCTTTTAAAAATGGTGCGATCATGGTTGGCAAACACTGAATAGAAGGTCAAACTGAACACTTCCTAACAGGTCAAGAGTGAAAAAAAAAAATATGGAAAGAAGAACCTCAAAAATCTATCACAGGGGTTACCTAAACTCTGCCTGGCCGAGGACCACATTGGTGATTTGCAATGAGCACAAAGGCTTCTTTAAGTCATGTTATATGGAACAAACTGAGTCACCTTTAATATGGCAAGTTGGTCTGCAGAGACGACAGGTTCCAACAGACGATTTGCCACCCTGATGTTTGACATAGGGCTATGTAAGATTTAAAAAGAAGAAAGTGATTCATCACATCTGCTCATGCAGAGCTTGTGTGAAAAAGGGTGGAAGTGAAGGCATGGGCAAGAGGGAGATGACAGCCAGGCACATGGGCATTAGGGATACTAACATTTTTCCCAGATGAAAGTCAGCCTTGAGGCACATGGCCAGCTACCATCACCACCTGCTATCTGTGCAGGCCTCTTCTATGGCTGCCCTTGGGAGATCTGCCATGGACATGAAGGAAAGTGGGACCGGTCCCCTGGCCCGCGGGCTGCGCTTTGGTCACCCCTGACCTATTAGAAAATGTTGATATTTTTCCCCACTACAACTCACAGAGTGCAAAAACAGCAAGCGTCTAAGTTTGAAGCCCAGGCCTTCTCACCCACCAGGCCAGGCCTGGCCTCCCCGGACAGCTCCCCTGCCCACTCCGCCTTCCACCACCTGCCCCCACGAGCAGGGGCGACCGCCCTACACGGCCAGGTCGTCTGACCGGGCTCTGCAGCTGCTCGACTTACTGGCCCTGCTCAGGCGCCGCGTGTCTACGAACAGGGGTGGCTCGTGCATCTCCACAGTGGTGCAGGCGGCCGGCACGGGCCGTGCCCCTGACAGCTCCTCCTCGCCCTCCACATCCCACTTAGTGCCGCTTGCCCCGCTCAGGCTGGTGCTGCTGCCGCTGTTGCCTGCAGCAATGGGCAGCACGGCTGGGGGTGGGAGTAGCTGCTCCAGTGGCTCTTCTTGCTCGGGAAGGTGATGCCGGACACTGCTCGGGGTAGAGGAGCCTGCTGAGCTGGAGGAAACCTTCCCCTGCTGCTCCGCTGCCATGTTGACCCAGTTCTGCTCGGATGTCAGGGCACGGTTGCTGCTGTTGAAGTAGCTCACGACAGCTGGGGTGGGTGTGGGAATGGGGGTTGGGATGGTGACAGGAGTGGAGATGGGCGTGGGAGTCACAGCACAGTGTCTCTCCTCGGGAACTGGTGGAGCAACAGGGTAGCTTGCCATGGAGGTTGTGTTGGAGGGGGGCCGTGGTCTTGGAGCTGCTGTAGCATAGTATGATGCCATGGTGACTGGGGCCAGCAGTGGTGTGACAGCACGGGTGTCAGGCAGAACAGGGGGCGGCGTGGCAGTCGTTACCACGACGGGTGGTGCTGGTGGTGGCAGGGAAACGGGTTTGGACTCCCCTGTTACCATAACTGGTGTCATTGTTGCAACAGGCATCTCAAGGATGTACTGGTTTGTCATGCCCTGCTTAAGCTTCTTCCACCCCAAGTGATATATCTCAAGCATGTTCAGCAGCAAGGAGACTGAGGCCACCACCAACATGAAGATTATGAAGATGGTCTTCTCAGTGGGCCTTGAGATGAAGCAGTCGACAGTGTGCGGACAAGGTGAGCGGCTGCACTGGTAGACTGGTTTTAGCTCAAAGCCATACAGGAAATACTGGCCCACAATGAAGCCCACCTCGAACAGGGTCTTGAATATGATGTTGAAGACATAGGTACGGAGCAAGGCACCCCCCATACGGATTCTACCACGTTCATCACGGATTGGGAGCTTCTCTTTCCCCCTTTTGCCTACAGGATCCTTGATGTTATTGCTGCCTCCTCCGCCACCACTGCCAGATGCTGCTGCTGCTACTGCGTAGTTTCCATCTTTGCTGCTTCCTTTCTTTTTCATCTCTTCTTTCTCTTTCCTCTTCTCCTCCATGCGTACAATGTGCAGGACATGGCCCAGGTAAATGAGGGTTGGAGTGGAGACAAAAATGATCTGCAGGACCCAGAAGCGGATGTGAGAAATGGGGAAGGCTTTGTCATAGCAAACATTTTCACAACCAGGTTGCTGAGTGTTGCATGTAAAGTCCGACTGCTCGTCTCCCCAGACCTCCTCAGCAGCAGCCCCCAGCACCAGTATCCTGAAGATAAACAGTACTGTCAGCCAAACCTTGCCAATAACCGTGGAGTGTTCCTGCGCATTCTCTAACAGTCTCCCCAGAAAGCTCCAGTCACCCATTGTTTCAGATTTCTAACCTACAATAAGAACATCACAGCAATTAGAGCAATGTTTAAAAAAAGAGAAATCTTATAATTACACAATGCTGGGGCAGAACAGACTGATCCTTGACAAATGATATTTCTCAACTGCACTTGTTTTTGCAGAATATTGCAGATGTGCGTTAAGAACTGGATAACCCTGTGACCATGCAACCATGGGCTTTGATGAGCACCAAAGGGAGATGTTTAAGAGGTTTAAGTGCCCACACACAACAGACAAGAAGGATTTGTAAGTTAGAATTTCTACTAGATTTAAATATTTTTAAAAACATTATTTCCTCTATCTGAGATGGCTCTAAGTGCTCCTGCCTATATTTAGAAAAGAACAGATTGAAATCAGTTCAATTATAGTAATCCTACTATTCATGTAACTGCCCTTGTATCAGAGTGGGATACAGAATTTGCCTAATTCTAATGATTTTATTGTTATTAGAACTTATATACTCCAGCATTCAGGAAGTTAGAAATGTCCTAAGTCTCTGCTATTTTCAAACTGTACTAACACAGAAAAACAATTACTCAAAACCTATGGAACTTACAGTTTAATTTCGGAATGTGTACAACTCAACAAGCATGTTCTCAAAGCCTAGTCATGTTTGAATCGTTTATTTCTAAAAAAAATCCAGAATTACTTTAATAACTTGAAATATTGGGAAGAATGAGAAATTTTGAGAGGAATTATGAAAAGGTTTCTATGCCATTTTCCCTACTGTTCAGTCAGTTATTGTTACTGAACCATACCTACTGCAACATCATTTAAAAAACCAAACAAAAAACCAAAAACCAAAACAAAAACCAAGGCAACAAAATTAAGGTCACTTCAACAACTGTATACAGAGATTTTCTTGGAAAAAAATAAAATTACATCCCATGACCTTACTTCAGTGAAAAACAACAGCATATATTCTCAGCAATTTCCACCAATTCATGTATGATGGACCTCCCATGTCCAATTCTAGGCAGAGACACAATTCCTGATTTGGAAAAAACACTATCAGAAAAGTGATTATCCTGTTGTTTAAAAATCTCAGAATATTTTATAACTGAATTACTCTTTTTATATTTATACTTCTTATCCAAACATGCAGGTGTCTTCAATTCCCAAGAAAAAAAAGGCAGTCATCATTACAGCTAGGAATTATATTTATTATATTTAGGAATTATATTTTAGGAATTTTAGTAATTATATTTATTATATTTATTATATTTATGTTAGATATATATTATAGTTAGCGTCATTTCCAGCAATTATGTCACTGGTTTTCCAGAAGAAGCATTTCCAAAGTCTGTATGCAACCTCTTTCAGGTTTTTAGTTAAGGCAATTAAGGAAATAAAAGTTATTTGAGGTACTTTTTTTATAACTTGATTTTACTACGAGGCAATGAAACAACTGTAAATACAGGATAGTTTGCTTTCATACAAAAAACAACAAAACAACTATTAGTATTTTGCATTTTTGCAAATCCTGGAATATAAATTTATTTTTTATTCCACAAAGTTAACTCAGCAAAAACTTCCCCTAAAAAATACATCTTTCATATTCTGCAAAGACACATCCCCTTTAGTATCAGTGAATCCTTTTTCCAGCATAATATGCAGCATTTTCAGCAAATGATGATGCTGACAACAAAACACCAATTTTGTGTACTAATGTCCCTGGGTCTCAAACTTTTTTTTAATAATTTTTTTAATATATTTAGGTTTTTTTGAAGAATGTATTTTTTCTCCTCCTAAAATAGTAGCCCAAAACCAAATATATTTTGTCATAATATTTTCATAATCTTAATATGCTTATATGATTTTAAAATTTAATCCTCAATCTTAATTTTATACAGTTTACAATATTTTGGATGGTTAAGGAATTTTAATCTTGAGAAGTATCAATTTTTAAGGGAATAAGGAATTAATTTTTTTTTTGGTTTTTAATCAAAACCATTTGAAGATATACCCAGTTTAGTTCCAACTTTGAACAGACCTAAACCAATGTTTGGGAATGTTCTCATTTTGAGTGGGAAAATGCAGGAACAGAAAAATGACTAATGTGACATTTGATGGATTAAAGAAGTGTAGCATAAACCTAATCTCAATATTTCCTTTCTCTGCTATTCTTTGCATTACTCTGTGCCTCTCAGATCAATACTCTCTACCCCACTTTTTATTTTCTATTCAGATAAAAAAAAAAACCCAGGCAGCTCAGATAATAAGTGGTCAAAGTTATGTTTTGTTCTTTTGTTGCTAGTACTTGTAGTAGAAAGTTTATTAACCAGCAAAACGTTAGCCCATTAAATTTTCTTGAATTCATTCCTACGTCCTATTTTCAGCATGGCTGCAATTACCCCTGTGTCCACTGGCACAAAGCCCACACACTGTTTTATATAAAGACAGATATTACCTTCTGTTGCTCCAAAAAAAAGCAGTTGGTTTACCCTCATGAAAAATTATAACCCCTGCACTGTAAGGTAAACACAAGTATCAATTATTTCCCCTTACAGGCACACTGAAGTGCATTTCTTACTGAGATCCATAGGTGACAATGACTACAATGAAAGTAGGATTTTTTGTGCTTTTCTGAAGATTTATCTAGTGATTAGTAGAAGAAGAACAATAAAAATTGGTAAAACTTAAAAATTATAAATAATATATCCATCTAATTTAATCATTCTCCATTCAGTAATACTACACAAGAACTTTTTTTTTTTGTTTCTACTATAGGTCAACAATGCCTAGGCTGAGATAATTCAGGACCAAAGACATGACACAAGGCATTTCTCAAAGGATACATATAAGGAAGCTATTCTAATGCTTATATTAGTTAAAAGATTTATATTTGTGTACCAGAGTGTGCAAACTCATCCTGCACACAAAGAAAAAGTGTCTAAGCTGTGAGTAGATACTTCATGGCACCTTAACTGCACTGAGGTGAAAAACCTCAGTGCTCGTCTTGGTATGAACTGTAGCAATTGTTGCCTTCACCAGAAAATGTGCGTTGCCCATAGTACATCCATTTGGGAAGGATGTAATTTCCAAGTGCAACACAAAGTTACATATTTCCACTGGCTGGAGGGTTCCCAGAAATCCAGGTCCTGTATCTTTCTTCAGTGTCAATACATTCTTCAGTAAGCAATTATAAAGCCAACATAACTCATCCAAAGTCACACAAAAAATTTAAAGGGATGACTTAATTCAGATAATGATTAAATGACCTCAAATGAAACCACAAGGTCCTCAGAGCTCACAGAATATTTGAGTTTTTCCCAGTAAGTTCAACAATACCTAAATCTAAATTTAACAGCCACAACTCAATATTTTATTTGAGATCAATCCCAAACTTGCTTTTGTAGTATTGCATAAACTTCAACTGTACAGAATTATTTTCAGTGCTGCTGAAATCCAGAGCTAGGCAACTGTTAAGACCTAATCTTTAATATGGATTGTGAAAGGAGACATTTTTTTCTTTTTGTGCTTGGAAAAAATGCAGATTAAGGAATGAAACATCTTTATCTGAATTTCTTGATGTCCACTAGAGAATGACAAGAGAATCTCTCTCAGAAAGCAATCTAATTCAATTGTTTGAAAAGCAAGATCTTCATGAACCTTGGGATCATTTAATAAGAACTGTGAGTCCTGTATTGTTCGGTTCACTTAGAAAATCATTACTCTGAGACAAATATTGAAAAATGGACAGTTCATAAAAATTGGCATGGCATTTAAGAATCAACGTTCTGTTATTAATTACTAGTTTAGGACATGCACAAATAGACTTTGTGTACGGTGTTTACGTGCATGTAGCAAATAGAACAAGTAAGAGACAGAATAAATTTTAGAAGTTGTGATGCCATATATATATATATATATATATATATATATATATCCGTCTACAGGAGACAAATACTTATAATGTGTCATCTGTAAACTTGTCAGTTATTTTTATTTCTGATGATGTCACCAGATGGGTTCACCAAGCGTGTGAAATATGATATTTTAATTATTTATTATAAATAATTAAAATATGATATTTTAATTATTTATAATTCTACTCACACATATATATGTTTATGTATTTATCTACACATATGCACATACTATACACATAAATAACTACACGGTTGTGTTACATACATAGATTATGAAACCTGATGTATTTATGATTTTATTACACTGGTATATCTAAAAGATGTCCCTTAACAATTATTCAGAAACCTGACAGACGTCCTTGTCTGAATATGAGTTCTTAAATTCAGTTCACATTTCCTTTAATTTCTTGTGACAGTCTAAAATTATGGGATTTCGACTTTTATCTTTAAAATTATCTAAATGTTACGAAGCAGTATGAGAAAAAAATGCTGCTAAAACAACTTGCAATATTTCATTTGTTTTTACACTAAACAATGAGGCACCTCCTTTACCACCAGGTTCTTAACTCTGCTATTTAAATCAGATAAAAGCAGTCATCCTGCAGAAAGTCTGCAGTGTGACCATGTAAATCCAAATAAACTGGCATATATGCAGGAACAGAACAAGCTACTATAATTTCCAGTAAAACTTAATGGTATTTGGTCATGTACCTATTCATGACATACAAGGGTGAGTGTTTCATAAGTCACAATGGAGGTTTCATAGTTCATTTTATAAACTTGTTTAAATGAGGACTTGAAAAATACCTTCTTTCATCCTCACAGTGTCATACTTTCAGACACATGCATTACCACTCTCATTGCATCTTAAACACTTGTTAGAAATTAATTCCTTATTTGATCTTATTATTACCTTAAACTTACTTTACTGCTATGGAGCCTCCTCCTTAAATCCCAGGCAAAACTTCTTTTGACTTCTTCTTGACTTCACTTGACCTCAGAGTGAAAGTTTGGCCTGGGTAAAGGAAAAGCTCGAGGAGCGCAGGGCTGAGCCGGGGAGGAGAGCTACACCCCACCTGTTAAACTCTGTTCCCTGGTATAACAAACCCCTCCTCTGATTCTCTAGTTGCAGGAGAAAAACAGGAACAAAAAGTAACCCCTTTTCTCCCCCAGAATACTCAAATGGCATCTTAGAGCTCTACATCAGAATTGAAAGACAGTGACTTACCAATAAAGCTGAAAGGTGTGGAGGGTGTGGAGCTACCAGGGGACTGTGGAATAGCCGTTGAGCATGAGGGCAACAGTCCTACATCCCGAGTGAGTGAAGCATGAATGAGACAGATCTGTCAGGTGCCCACATACGTTTAGCCACACAGGTCTAAAAACTGCACAGTAAGGAGTGTCCCGCCCCCCACCCCAGATATACATCGGAAAGATGAGCCTTTCTGGCACTCAGAGACTCAAGAGCCTTTTACACTGCAGAGAAGCAAGTACTCCAGCATTCAAGTATCCATGTGAGGGGACTTCAGGCAAGTAAAAGTAACTGCAAGGGAGATGGTACTGTAAACCCCATTCAAACTTCTTTAAAGTACATTTTTGTACTATGGTAACCATTTAATTTTTTTTCTAGTTTAAAATCAAAGTGTTCCAGTAAATTTCTCTTAAAGGGACGCTTTAATAGCTCTGGCTACTCAGTTCAATTCATTCTTCATATCTACGTCATTCTTCATATCTATCTATGTCTTAAAGGCCTAACACACTAAGGATTCCTAATAACATCTTAGACTTATATGATTTCTTCAGCGACTCAGCAATGAACCCAAATACTCTAATACTCTTTTTGCCTAGAGGAAAAAAAGAACAGACACAAATGAAACAACTTTGTTTTGCTTATAACATTGGCAAAGTTTTACTTAATCAAGCTATAAATACCTTCTAAAGAATATTTATTCATCTCAATACTTTGCATCACTCATGAGTCCTAAGTGAACAAGTGAGTAACCAGCATGTTTGGATAACTCTCAGATCGAAGATGCAACCAGAAGAGTGAGGTAAAAGCCTGGTTAATGCAGAGAGGCCAGACGGCTGTTTTTCCCACCATCAGTAGAAAGTGTTTGTACGGGCCAGAGAACTCAGAGCTCACTTTAAGGAACCCGAGAACCATCTTGGAGTACACTCCTGAACTCCATCATTCTGTGTGGCACCACTTACAAGAGTTAAAGCAATTCTCTTTATAGTTAGGATTTAACTTTACTCCAAGTACAAAACGGACTTGGAATGCACATCAATGTTTGAATGTGAGTGGCAACCCTTAAGGAAAAAATTACATGCCCCTACACGGGCACCCTTTGGCGGTCAACGGCCCAAACAATCCCGGGTATATTTGGCGTTCTGCTTTCCACTGCATCTCAGGTACTTGGTTAGGTTTGGACACTTCTGTCTGCCTCACCAGGCTCAGTTCCCGCCCCATCTGCGAGCTGCCGCTGCCTGCAGACGGTTCCCTCGGTGGGGCAGCAACGGAGGGACGCTCGCACCGGGGACCCTCAAGGAGGAATCCTAAGCACGGGCTCCCCTTCCCTCATTCGTCCTAAGCGGGATGAGCAGGCTCGGCCCCGCCCTGCCCTTCCCTGGCGCCCAGCCCACGGCCGGGGGGCCCCGCAGAGCCCCCAGGCAGCTCCCGCCTCCCGCCCTCAGCGCAGGTTCCCAGTCCGCCCGCGGCTGCGGCCCCGCCGGCCGAGCCTCTCTGCGGAGCGGCGGCTCCGCGACGGGGGCCGAGCGGCACAGACCAGGGTCGCTCTACTTACGCTTCGCGGGAGGAGCGCTGTTTTAGGCACCAGAAGCTCAACGACTTCGGAAGAGTCCAGGCAGCGATGGCGCATAACTCGTTTAACCGGGGGGAAGAGGCGCCCCCAAACTTTGCTCGGGCTATGGAAAAAGCGGAGGGGGCGGGGGGGCTGGGTGCCGGGGCGGGGCGGGAGGCGCCCGGCAGGCCGGTGCCCACCTCTCTCCGTGCTGCTGCCCGGGCTGGCAGCGCGCCCCTCGGGCGGGCGGGAGCGCGGCCGCGACGGCACCTCTGCCCTCTGACGGGCTGCCCCTCTGACGGGCTTCCCCACAGGCACCGGGCACCCAGCCCTCCCCTCCTCCCTCCCTCCCTCCCTCCCCTCCCGCCCCGGGCACAGCAGCCGGCTTCATATGGGCCGCGCCGGCCGCCCCTCTCCTCACCCGCGAGGCTCCGGGCGGAGCGGCCGGGGTGTTCGCCCTTCTCTCCCTGGATTCTAAAACGTTTGTCGCTCTGCAGGTGATCCATCCCACCCCCGCGGGATTTCCTGGGAAATAAAACAGTTTATTCCTCCCAGAGAATAAAAGCGTGAGAAACCCCTCCCCGCTGGGCCGCCCGCCCGCCCCGCCGGGCTGCGGCGGAGGCAGCGCAGCGGGAGCCGCTTCCCGCACGCCCCCCGCCGCCCGCTCCAGCTCCAGCTCCCGCTCCCGTCCCGGAACGGCGTCCCGGGACACGGCTGCGGCACCGGTGTCAGAGGGCGCCTCGCCCCGGCGGCCGAAAGTGCGGCCCTCTGTCAGGTGTTAGAGACACCTGAGAGCAAAAGTGAAAAACAAACAAACGAAACAAAACAAAACAAACAAACAAAAACAAAAACAACCTAAAGGCCAAAAGATTCTTCACAAAAAGAAGTTGGGTCTTTTTATTTTTGTGAGGAGGCAAACCTAGCTGCTTCTGCCTGCCTCTCCTGTAGGAAGAACCCAAAAAGGTTGCTAGTGCCTTTTTTTTCTTTACCCGAGACCCCGCTCACTGAGGATTAGCTTGTCAAGCTGTCTGTGTGCAGACCTTTTGGGGGGGGGAAAAAAAAAAAAAAAAAAAAGATCAGTTGCCACTATTTCCAAAATGATGATTTAGACGTGTCTCTCGATATTGTCAGCATCAGGGCTCAAAAATACTATCACCTACGTTTTGGTTAGGTTTTTGCGTGTTCTTTAGTGTTGCCCATGTTCTGGGCAGCATCAAAAGCAGCGTGAGAGATGATTCTGCTCAAAGCGGGTCAAGGGAGGTGATTTTCTCCCTCTGTTCTGCTCTCATGAGACTCCACCTGCATCCAGCTGTGGGGCTGCCAACATAAGAAGGACATGGACCTGTTGGAGCGAGTCCAGAAGAGGCAGCAAAGACGATCAGAGGGCTGGAGCACCTCTCCTATGAAGACAGGCTGAGAGAGTTGCAGGGCTGTTCAGCCTGGAGAGAAGGCTCTAAGGAGACTGTACAGCAGCCTTCCAGTTCCTAAAAGGGGCCTACAAGAAAGCCAGAGAGGGACTTTTATTAAAAGCATGTAGTGACTGGACAAGGGGAATGGCTCTAAATGGAAAGAGGTAGGTTTAGATCAGATATTAGGAAGAAATTCTTTTCAGTGAGTTTGGTGAGACACTGGAACAGGTTGTCCAGAGAAGCTGTGGATGCCCCATTCCTGGCAGTGTTCATGGCTGGGTTGGATGGAGCTTTGAGCAACGTGGTCTAGTGGAAGGTATCTCTGCCCTTATCAGGGCAGGTTGGAAGTAGATCTTTGAAGTCTCTTCCAACCCAAACCATCCTATGATTCTAAGACAGAACAACTTGATTCTGTGATAGGCAGAATGACTTAAAGTAGCACAACAACTCAACAACTCTTCCGCAGTAAGGTATGAGTTTCTGTTGATAGCTACTCTACAGCAAAAGAGCTGAAAACTTAACCACAGCTGAAAACTTAACCATGGCTCACTGTTGCTCTATTTAGTAAAAATACCATCCACGAAAAAATTTGACACATTTTGAGGAGTGGTGTGTAACAGAGGACTGTTGAGAAACTGAATCAGACCATCCCCATGTTCTTATATCCTTGCAATGCTTGATTGCTCCCTATGAGTCTTACGGCTGAAAACACGAGGGAGGAAGATCTCTGTGGACCTAAGCACTAGGGGTGGCACAAGGACAAATGACTATTCAGAGCTGGGTGATACAGCTGAAGCACAGTGCTGTCGTGACTGTAAGTGTAGTAGTACTGCAGTATTGATCCTGAAACAGTGGAGCATGAGAGGCTGTGTTGGGGTACAGGATGGAATCCCATCAGCTCCAGTAATTCCTAATATTATAACTTTCTTTGTGGAGTGAAATCTCTCAGCTCACAAAGTCAGCTGAAGGGCAAGAAGTTTATTTTAGGGAGAGGTAGGCAGATCTCTTGTTTTCAATCATCTGTCCAAAATGTTTAATAGCGTGAAGAACTGGGTGTTTCTCTGATGGCTTTTTCCGTTTCTGGAAGTTTAAAGTGGCATTTCCCACCGTATGTACAAACTGACCTTGATACTTGTTGTTTTTAAGAAAAATATTCTTACTCAGGAGAGCAATGAGGTTCTAGAGCACCCTTTCAGTACTGCCACAGGAAGTTTTTATGATAGAAATAATTACCTTTCAAATGGGGAGAATCTGATGCGATGCCTGCTTACCATGGGACTACACGCATTAGCTAACAATTTCCTTTCTAAGAATTCTCCTCTGGCATCATATAAGAAGAGGTTTGGTCTCTCGACAAAATCCTCTCGATCATTTGTGAAAAATAAGATAAGCAAGGATACAATATCCATGGGGAAATTTTGAAGGAAACAGCTTTAAAAATAAAGAACAAATTATGTGCTGGTAAAAGGCCAAGCACAGAAGCATGTCAAGGTGGTATGGATGGTTATTTGTTAGTCATATACTAGGAAAGGAGGGTCTATGCTCAGATTTAGTTAATGGTGTTAAAAAATGTCTCTTTATGTGGACTTTCTGACAGAAGGATTTCCAGGGAAGAGCCATCCTGCTAGCTTCCTCTCTTATATTCAACACTACCAGCCCTCATTAAAAGGTTCCCTCCATTGTCATTAGCACTAGACAGCAGCATAAAACTTCGGTCACATTTAAATTTTTACATTAAAATGCACACTTAGAAAAATTTCAGCCTTCCTTTAATTATCACAGAATCATTAGTGTTGGAAGGGACCTGTAAAGATCATCCAGTCCAATCCCCCTGCTAAGGCAGGGTCACCTAGAGCAGGTGACACAGGAACACACCCAAGTGGGTTTTGAATGTCTCCAGAGAGGGATTAATTATCTTCTTTACTACCACTTTTTGTCTTCCATCCAAGCCTCCACCCAGGTGACAACCCCTGTTTCACATGCAGACAGACATTCAGCAGTATATGATTTGACTGGTGCAGAAACAAAGTGAATTCAAGAAGTGTGGAGACAGAGCAGTCAGGCAGGTATTTTTAAGATTAGGTGAATCAGGTTTGCATGGCAAGGTACATGGAAAGTAGATAAGAAATAGACACAAGGCTTTATGAAATGATAAAAAGATCTCATAAGTTAAGGAGATACATCTTGCCCTTAGTCTGAACCTGAGCTGTTGCTCAACAAGAAAAATGGACTGTTTCAGATCAGAATTGATCCAAAACAGTGTTTCCCCCATACTGTTTCTAATTTAAACATCTATATTGAAGTGCAGAAGAGGGTCACTCTTACCATAATTGTGCATCCAAACAGAATTTAATGGAAAGAGCCCACAGCTGGGGTACATGTCATCAGTTGTAAGCAAGCCACACCAAAGTGACACGTGGCTCAGCACTGCTGACAGCAGTTCTGTCCACACAACCTAAAAAAACCAGTTACAAATGCCTTCAGTTCAGCTTGTTGTGGCACTGTATGGCATGTTAATAAAAAGAATTGTGCTTGACATGCCTCTGTGCTACAGAAGATGGCACTAAAGGTATTTCAATGTTGGGAATGGGTACTGCTACCTCAGGAGGCACAGCTTGAAGCAAGGAGGATTAAAATATTTTCTTCTCTAGCTGCTTTTTACATGGATGAATCAAAATATTTTAAAACTAATAAAATAATAAATAAAATGGCAATAAAAAGGCTGAAGTAATATTTTAATCTGATATTATATACTAGTTTTTATTATTGACCAATTAGTGATTAGTGTTCTGTTCTGTTACATGCTACCTCCACACATGTCAGAGAACACAGCATATTAACAAGCAAGAACAGGTGACAGGAAGAACTATTATTATTTCTAGTTTGTAGAAAGACTTAATGTGACTTCTAGTTTGTAGGAATGGAGCCACAGGAAGACTTAATATCTTGTCCTAGGTTATATGGTTCTGAGAATAGCACTGAGACTCTAGGCTGGTGTTTAAGCCACTAGAACTGGCTTCCTCTCCAAAGTCCTTTGGGAACTATGGGAAGTCTCCTAACACAACAACAACAAAAATTGGAGTGTTCTAGGATATGTAGCAGTGAGATGCTTTCAGGTCATCTTCATGGAAGCAAAAGCTCCATTTGAGATGTATTAGAGAAAGAACTATAACAGTACAAGCCAGGCATCTGTTATGAGGAGGAATTAAAAAGAAGGACACAGGACATGCAGGATCCTAAGAGGAATTATGCCTGCTATCATACTGTCATGGTGTGATGCTATTTTTTTTCCACACTATGGGCAGAAATATGAAATAAAAATATTGAAATATAGTCATTCCTGCCACAAGCCTGGCAGAAAGCTAACTGAGGTAAAAAAATAAACAAAAACAAACAAACAAACAAAAAGCCCCCCACAGAGTTTAAATAGTTCTCTGCTAAGGTAATGTGTTAAATCAACTCATATAAAAGTTTGGGGAAGATTGTGTTGGAGCAGGGGAGAAGATGGCCGGTAGCTGAGAAGCAGGGCTAATAGAGAGGAATAGAGAGCAAGGAAGGGTACAGAAGCAAAAGAAGGGAAAAGACAGTTAAGACTTTGCCTTTCTAGTAGCAGTCACTCAGGAAAACACAGCCAGAGGCTGTGGTTTGAAATTGCGTGTGTGTAGCATCAAACAAACTTCATGTTGCCGTTCCCTCCACCCCTTCCACTCACTCCCTGCAGCTCTTCTTTCCCAACACCATGACCTGCTGCCCCACAGTCACGTCAGTGTGGAAGTTCACGTGGCCTCCCTGTAAGCCAGATCAAGGAATTGACCCAGCTAAAAACCAATCCAGCAAAACAAAACATTTGTTTCTTCATGAGCTAAAACAATCAGCCAATCCAGTGCTGAGCACAGCTGCGCAAACAATTGTGCTGGCACAGTAAAGGTCCTGGAACCAAGGCACAGTGTTGAATGGGGTGAGAAAGAGACATAGACAGGATAAGAGCGGATGACATCAGTGTTAATGCCCTAAACTAGTATTGCTACTGAACGATTCATAGTGCCAAACCACAACCAAGGCTCCTAAACAAGGATGTTCTTTCTCATTGTATTCAGGGTAAGAGCAAATACAGTATGTTTTACCAGGAATGTATCTTGTTGTCACACAGGATGACTT